GAGAATTGTAAAAATAATTCAAATAAAGTGATGATCAAAATTGTTTTAAAGTTGAAAAACAACTGTTGTCAAAGATGATGATGTAATGATGATTGTATAAAAGTGATGGTAAAAACTTGCTATTGAAAAAGTGAACATAAAAACTTTAACATTGTTAAAATAATTTGAATAAAGTGATGATTAGAATTGATATTGTAAGAATAATTTAAACAGAGTGATGATATAAATGGTTAAAGTTGTTAGAAAACTGTTGTTGAAGATGATTATAGTAAAGGTTGCATGAGAGTGATGATAAAAGTGTTGAAGTTTTTGTCATGGTCATATGAGAGTGATGGTGTAACTTGCTGTTGAAAATGTGAAACATTGTGATTATTCATTCAATGATAATATAAGATGGATGCATGATTGCAGAAAATTTTGAATGCAGTGATAATAAAAGTTTCATATTGTCAATGATGATTATAGTCATGGTTGTGTGAGAGTGATGGTAAATAATTGCTTTTGAAAAAGTTAAGATGAAAAGTTTTAAAAGGTGCAAGTATTTTTTAAAGATAATACAGTTATAAATGCATAATTATATAGATTCTTAAATGAAGTGAAAATAAAATGGTTTAAGCTTTTCTTTTAGCTTTTGTTGAACTGCAATCATACTTGCATGTTTCTTTATCGGAGATGATTACAATCATAGTTACATGACAGTAATGATAAAAGTTATAAGGTGTTTTGAAAATTATATGTTGTCAAAGGTGATTGTAACAGTCACATTAGTGATCATAAAAAGTTATAAGGACTTTTTTAATAATATTTGTCAAGAATACTTACAACTACAGTTTGAGCAGTATACACATTGCTGGGGTGAATGACTCATGCTGCATAGATGTGTGCAAGAAAGTGATATGAGATCAAATGGGTATTCAGATCAGGCAATGAAGATGAGCAAATGGAAATTATATTACTAGTTGAGAAGGTCTTAGTAGTAAACTTCAAACCAGCACAATGGAGGTGAAACATTCAGAAACGTTTAGTGTAGATTGGCACAGAGCTAACTCTACCACGCGCTTTGCTGAGGAGAGTAGGATGTGCCATCTTGAGAGGATCTTCTAATGTTAAAGTATTACTGGTGACAATTCCATCATTGTACCATGTCTGATGATTCATATCGATAATCCTTGCAGTGAAATGAAAGCCACCAAAATAGATTATATCACACAAGTGAAATTTTGTGCCTTCTTCACTGATGTACACAGTGAATCTAGCTGAAGTTGCTTACCATTGGTTATGAACACCATGAAGTTTGGGTTATTGATGAAGACATACCTTCTCATCAGTCTTGTGTGGCAGGTTTGACATGATAAGTGAGTCTTTCTGAGGAAAAGAGCTTGCAGTCACTCAGACAGCTTTCTATTTTTTGAGGAACCTAACTTAACAGAGGATTCTCTCCAGATGGGCAAACTGCAGTCCCATAGATAAATGGAAGTCTCTTCTGTATTCACATCAACATTGCAGTGGAGGCAGCGAAGATGGACAGTGACGTTGGAGGATGAAGCAGAACACAAACTGTAGATGTCCGTGCCTTCTTTTCCCATGATGGGAAAGGTCACAGGGTGTGCGATATGCAGTTTTGCATAGATAACATCTCTTGCATGTTCCATAGAGTGTTTACCTGTGAGTACCTTGGTGAAGACATTAGTAAACTTGTGAAAAAATTCATTCTGATTCTTGACAGTTTCATTCCATTGTTGTGGACAATCTCTGAACATCTTGAGCAGTATGGAGAAAAGGCTATCATATGCGCAACTGTAGTTGTTCTCATCCCATATAAAACTGACAGGGCTTGAGTATAATGAAAGGGGTGAAGTGGTCCTCATCTTTTTGTCATCGAGGCCTGTTTCATCGCTGACACACATGCACTTTTTCTTTTTTCCACCCTGGTCATTGCTAATGGTGAGCAAAGCATTTGTTCCCTTAGCAGGCAGATACCTATACACAGATTTAATTTCCTTCAGTTTATCCTGCACTAGTGAGGTTTTTTTGCATCATCACTACATCTAGTTGGTTTACTGACAATTTGTCAGGGACTGTCAGGCTCTGGGTCATTCAGTGGGTATGGGTCTTCGTTAGACCACTTAAGAGACCTGTGCATTGTTTTGGAGATGTACTGGGTTCCTTTCCATGATCTATAGGATATGATGAGAGGATTTCTGGTTATGCCTTGAACTATGTCTGACAACTTCTTATTATATCGAAGGGTTGTGATCTTGTCTAGAAGTTTAAGGTCTCTAAATTTTTGCCTGAGTGAACTGAAGATGCCTCCCATCAGTTTATGGTCATCAAAGCCTTGAACAATTATGGTCCCTTCGTACATATATCGATCTCCTAGAAAGGCACATGTATATGAACTGGTGAGATCTGCAGTTTTGGAGATCACACATGTTGTCGGGCCTGGTGCGACCCTGAGAGGTGAAGTCGGTCATTGCAAAATTGAGTATGACTGCCACCTGGTCTCTTACAATAGTGACCATCTGATCATTTGGCATGATGCAAGTGATTTTCATGGGCTGATGACTTATGGGGACCACATTTTCTGGTAGCCTATCCAATTTGATAGATGTAGGAGGAGAGGTTAGCTAAACAAAGAGTGTGTCCAGGGCCAGCTTATTATCCTTCAGAGGTCTTGCCTTCCATCCAGCCACTACACCCTCTGCACCATTCGTCATGCAACACTCTGTAGCCTCGTTGATCTTAATCATGACTGGCATGCCAAAACATAGGGTTAATATAACAGAATGGTTATTGGTGCAATCGTGAGGGAGATTCCACAAAACCCGTTGAGTCTCAGGATCTATCACGTTAGTTGACCTCTGTGGATTTACAGCAGTGTGTTTTGGTTTTCTCCTCTTTTCCTCTGCATCTGATCTCCACTTATCTTGAGAATAAAGTGTAATCAGTTGTTGTCCTGTCTCTCTGGCAAAGCGGGCACAGCTGAGCTCATTTATTTTGTCTCTGTAAGCATTCCAGGCCATGATGACTGAGACATTTCTGAATGTCAGTTGATTCAACTTTGGCTTGTCTGCAGCATGACCTGCTATGTGTCTTTTTAGATGCTGTATGTCTGCCTGGGTGCAGGACTTATATCTTAGGTTTTTCAAAGCCTTTCGCATCTTTGCATCGTTAGGAGTTTGCTGCTTTTGTCTCATATTCTCTCTCAAAATCATCACGGTGGTGAACTGATGCCAAAGTGCCTTGTTTATAAATGATTCTTGTTCATAATGACTGCTGGTGGTGTGCAGTACTGATCTTACTTTATGAGAGTACAATGAATGTCCTGACCCCGCAGGGGGAAGCTGTGCAAAGTCTCCTGAAAAAATCATGTTTATTCCTCTAAACAGTTTTCCTCATTTTTTACTGCTGAGCACATCCTCGAGCATATTTTGTACAAGTTGTGACAGTCCACCATTGAGACCTCATCTAAAAAATATACTCGACACACTGAAGACACGCTCTCACTTGAAGAAGGCTGGTGGCTGATTCTGAAGTATACTTGCTCATTCCTAGTATAGAGTGGTACATTGAGCCAGCAATCAAAGTGGTGGCAGATCCAGTCAGGGCCATACAGAGAAATTGATAACCCTCTTTTCGTTCGTTGAAGAAGTCAATGCCTTTATGACCTGAGAGTTACCTGTTCCTGCCATCCCACTGAGGTACATCTTTAACTGTTCTTCACTGAGATACGTGGTGTGATTGGCAACAATTCTGAATGCATGTTCCTGTTCTTTGTTTAGATTGAAGAGGCTGCTAGTATCGTCAATGAGCTTTTGGTTTTTTTGGTCTTTCACCTTGAAACCCTTCTCTAGATAAGACATGTCAATCACTTTGATCACATCTACATATTTCTCTACTGCAGCTCCAGTTACCTTGTCAACAATGTTGTTTGCAACTGCTTGATCAGTCCAAAACTGTATAATTTCTTGCTTTCGGTCAGCAAGAAGTGATTGCTACCCTGAAGCCATGTGGCCCTTTCTGTCACAAAATGCAGTAGATGGTAAATGTGCTTCCACAGCATCACAGCCTTCAGGAAGATTGTCCATTCATCCAGAAGTGTGCATGATATTTTCCACGTGCATCATGTGCATCAAGCACAATTGAGCTTTAGTTCTCAAGTTATTTCACTCAGAAACATTGCCTAGAACATCATAGTCTGCTGTAACTTCATCAGCATTATCTTGTCTTCAGTAACCATCATCGAGTGCCTCCATATCATTGTTGTTCATGCCAAATGGCATACCCCCAATTTTTGCACCTGCTTTTCTTTACTTTGTAAAATTGTCTCTGTCATCGTTACACTCATATCTGATGTGCATATAGTTCATGACCTGTCTCTGTCTGTCAGTAAAATGATGCTGCTCAAACGCCTCATTCCACAACATCATACGATTAGGTTTAAGGTCTTGTCCTAACCTCCAGAACTTGGCAAAGGTTAGCATGGTCATGCAGTACTCCTCTTGGTTGTCGCTGTCTCTATGAGGCAGTGCACCACCAATGAAATTGGGAATCATGCTCTTATCCTTGGGCAGCAACCTTACTTCCTTGGATGGATATTGAGGGTGAGCGTGTAAAAAGCATGCAGGTTCGAGTTGACAGTCAGCAATATGTGCCTTCTCATCTGCCTGAAATGTCTTTGCATTATGAGAGGTGAGCAGCAGCTCATCATCACCATCACTTTGTTCTTTACAACCTTCTTCTTCATCGGAGTAGATCACCTTAGAAGAGCTTTCTTTATTCTCTTCCTTTTCAAGCACAAGCTCATCTTCGCTTTCTTCATTCCTCACGCTGCAAACTGACATTCTGTGCAAAGATGATCTGAGAAGAAGTTCATCCTCTTCATCTTCAGGCTCTAGGCATTGTTGTTCATCATCAATGAATGATCACATAGACTTTGAGGACAGGTCACGATCAGAAGCATCATTTGCAAACTTCTGTGACTCTTTCTTCGCTCGCTGTATCCAATCGTACAGGCACATTCCATTAAAGATAGAAGGTCTATATATGTAATCATCTGTGACAGAGAACGGTACAAACTTGCCTCAAGTTTGACTCAATATGACTTTTTCCAGAGCCTCTGGATTGGTGAATATCTTTGCTGCGGCAGTTGGATTCTCATCCTCCCAGGCTGTACATACTTCTCTCACAAAACTTTTCCACATGTATACATTGAAAGAGTAGTTTGTGTAGTGATCTTCATGCTTCAAGAGATACAAACAGGCCATCGGTCCACCGATCTCTGCACCAGCCATCAAAGCATTAACAATTTTTGTCAACAACATGCAGCCTTTCTGTATTCTGTCCATGTTCCTGGTGATAAGGGTCTCACTTCTATCGAGTATATTGTGGACCGTCTCAAACATTACGTGCATTTTTAGAGGGGTCTTTGTGATGTAGTCAGTTACATAAGTGATAACCGATTTGATTGCAGTTTCTGACATGAGACTTGTGATGTTCGTGTTGCATCAAAGAAGATATGTAACAACCAGAGTGAGTGTGTTAATCCACGCTTCACCCTTCTTCATATTGAGAGCTCCTGTTTCAGGATTGACCGTGGTTTCTGTATAAGTTGTTCAAGGAAAATGGGCCTTGCAGATTCCGTACTTGTTATCCTTGCATCTGTGAAGACATCGATGATGATTTGAGAGATAAATGAGCTCATCCACCTCAAGAGACTGTTCGTTCCACCATTTTTTCCAGGTGGTGCACTTTTGACAGTCATGGCAGTTTTTTTTCATACATCGAACAGGCACAGGTCTGGGCAGGGTAAATGTAGGGGGAACATGTCCTTCCTTTGCATTCAACTTATCGATGTGCTGGTGAATGTCCTCCATTGTTCCGTTCTGAAATTCCCCTACATGTACACTCTCAAGGTATTCTACTATCTCTCTCTGAAAACTGGAGTTGTGATCAAGAATTGTTTCTCAGATCTGCTGAGGACTTAAACAGTTCTTAATCCATATCATCATATGCATGTGCAATGTTAGGTGTCCTTGCTGTTCAACCATTCCATAGTAAGCAGCGGTCTCTCCATATATACCTCGGCAGTTCTGATTCACACCTAGAACATGTTTTATGAACAGCTCAACCATGATTCTGAAGAAGCGAGCACCTGCAACTGGATTAGACACAATAAGCTGCCAGCGTTCATTGTCAGTATGAAACTCCAGTATGATCTCTTGTTTCATGTCAGCAAAATAAAGCGCAATGGGGTGATTGATATTTGCTGAGGCAAAGTTGATGAACCAAGAAGGCGCACCCAGATAAGATGTCAGCACCCATATTTTATTTTGCATTTGCTTTCAGTTCGTCAAAGATCCTTGCACTTTAGCTGTAATATGGTCCAAGTCATTGATAATTTTGAAACACTCCTTCGCTTCATCACTCTCAGGCTTTACAAGGACCATTTGTCAGTCAGGTTATCAGACTTTACAGAGTGGCCAAAGGCAAGTTGACGATTCTGTTCACAATCTCATGAAAATTTTGTTTTTTGATGAGCAAAAACCTGGCAGTGGTCGCATTTTTAATCTGTTCATGGTTAAAGGTGACGAGAGGAAAATAAAGTTTCAATTGAAAACACTTATCATGATACATAAGCAACTGTTGCTTTCTTTTGGACTTGGACACCCGTTTTGATCCACGATCATTGTTTAGGCCTCCCAAGCCATATGGAAATAGCCAGGGAAACATTTGAGGATACAGTTGAGGGTTATGATATAAGCTTTGAGGATTTGTTCTTGACTGACACCCGGAACCTTGCTCTTTTTGAACTGATGAATAGCCTTTGCCCTTATTGATTAATAATCATCTGCTAAGAGGTTAACGTAGGCATCCCTGATGAGACCGTGAATGATGAATGGACAGGGACCTTTCATGATACCTTCATCCGGATCCACATCATTTATCACAGTAGCTTCTGGAGCCTTGTTCATATATCCATCATGATAGTCTATGATCACAGGAGGAACATTCTCTGAGTAGGTGTTGAGATTCTCATAGGAGATGTTCAAGTCCATGTAATCTTTGTGGTTTAGCTTTAACCACTCTAACGCTTCAGCAACCTTGTTACGCCTTACTAAAAATGGTGTTCTGGCAAATTCTTTACCCATAGAGTTGCAAGGTCCGATGTATATAAATGCGAGGACTTTGTCAAGCTCTTCCTGGCTAAGAGGCAAGCTTCAGTAAATCTTGGGCATTGGCACAGAATGGCATATGGCATTGGCACACATTTTCCACATACCTGATACCTTGACCTGAATTATGCAGTAGTTGTGCTTGACCCTTGATGTAAGCATTTTCTCACACCAGGTTAGGTCTCGCAATTGAAAAGGGATCTCTCCAATCCAAAGATCATTAGCTAGAGCATCCGTCGAGAGTGAACCTTTTTCAAGATCACGTAGACATTCTGCACAAACATGATCACAAGTTGGTAGGATGACTGGTCCTTTCAGCTCTGCTATTGGATCTTGGATACTTCCTCGCTCCTTCCTGGTCATCGCTTTTGTGGTGGGCATTAGTATTCGGAGGTCTATGTCACAATCTGACAGTGTGGAGAAAGTTGAAGTGAGACACAATTGACCACACACCACACAAGCAGATTTTAAGAATTTGTCCTTGTTGATGTCTTCACAAAAGCCATTGATCATTTGAGCGAACAGATCTTCCATCAGAGGAGATGGAGGAAATCTGACCATCTTTGTCTTCTTCATCTTGAGTCAAGTTTTTTGAGACCATTCTGTGCTTGTTAATGTGATCTTAGATGTAAATACCAAAAAGAGTTTGGGACATGACATGCAGTGGTGATCCAGAAGCAGAGCATGTACTTGTTCTCTCGATGATTTACTTCATGTGACATAGATCTGATGAGCGGAACATATGGAGATCAATAGCTCTTCTGCAGTCCATCGATAAACTTGCCTATGTTTTGAACCTCCACCGAGCAATGAAGGGTCACGGTTTGTGAAATGCAAGCAAAATTCATAAATGGTTCAGAAAATGTGAGGAGCGCAAATGTCCATTTGCCAGTTGATTAGGAATATGAAGGATGATGTTCGACTTTGTAGGAACAAAGAGAAGTTGTGACATCTGGTCACATATCTCAACAACAGGGTTCTTATCAGAGTAACCCAGTGCAGCGATGAAATGATGGGTTGAAATAGAGAGTTGATTATGTGATGTTGAATGAGACCAAGCAAGGCATCACATTAGGAGTGAATCTCCTTGCTGAAGTAGTGATCAAAGGACAAGCAGTGAGAATTATATGTCAATGAATGATAACACATACCATCAAGCATCATCGCAACCATGAGTGGCTTCGATGAATGGACCTGGTGAACGTGAAACAACGTGAGACATAAAAGATCCCATGACAATACATTTCCCGATATCGATTCATATGAGAGGTCAGCCATTTGGTATGGAGGCACAATTTCATACACAGAATACACAATCATCGAAACACTCAGTAGCAGTGAGATTGAATTTAGGAAGCTCATTGTACTCGAGCGATCGTGGTGAAGGGGTAAGAGACTTTTGTAGGAAGCATCCACCAAGGCTCCACCGCTGAGTGGCACAGAATAGGTTTTAAGGACATCCACCATCATCCTGTATATCACTTCAATGCACTGCAGATCATCGACTGGCAGCCACGCAGAAACATCAGTGCTCACATTCAGAGCTCGAAGAGGATTCTGCGATATAAGCAGCAGCAGGATTTGCATCGACAATATGACTCAAGGCCACAAAGGGGCTCAAGGATGCGAGATTTTCATTTTTCAAGCAGGAGGATGGAGGTTATGAAGAACGTTAAGGGCATAGGCTCAACAACTGCTTTTGTGGATCATCATTCTGAAAATACCCTGGCAGTTGAGAAAACTGCTGATATTTAAAATTAAAGGTTCCGTTGACGACGAGTATTTTCTGTGATGAGCGAGAATCTCAGAGGAGGAACAAGGTCATGTCCTTTTAAGATCATCAAAAATGATTGTGATGCGTGGAAGATATTTTATTAATGAGACATTGTCAACGCAGTCTCATTTTAAAGTGTGAGGACCCCTTTTCACTAATCAGCTTTTATTCATCGACACGAAGACATGAGGGATAACAGTTCAGGAGGGGCCTATTTACAATTTAGGGAGCAGCAACAACAGCATGCTCAAGATGTTGAATGACATAGTATCACCCCAATCTGCGCTGTTTCAGACACTCACCATGTGCAGAACCACTACCAATGCACAATCTGGCAGCTCCATCTTGAGCAAGGGGCATTTAGCAGGCACATCTTGGAGGTTGAAAGGAGGTGGGACATCTCACTTTTGCTGGAAGTAGTAGGTGCAGTCAAATACCAGAACTAAAAAGAACCATTGTGAGAGGAATGAACAAAGTCCCTGGCAGTGTGCATACTGGTGTCATCAATGGGGAGATTACCCGGCACCAGCTTAGGAAAAAGAGGTAACACCTCAGATGGCGAAGAGTGCATGGATGGTCCAGCCTTTCTTGGAGACATGGAATGTTCACCGAGCAATGTCTTCAGCTTGGCATTGTCTGCGACAGATCTCAAAATGAGAACGTGAAAATAAAATGATTCTCACAGCTGCTAGACACCTCATCAAACTCCACATGAGACATGCGTGTACTGAATGACATGTCCCCAAATGTGCTGAAATGAATATTCTTAACGGTCATTTCACCCCCATCTTCGATGTCGTGGCCAAAGAGCATCCCATAAAATCCTAGCACGAGCTCCCATTCTTGCATGATGGGAACAATGTGAAGCTCCTTGATCTGCATTTCTCCCTTTGATGATGTAAATGTATGTGGTTTGGTGAGATGACTTGCTTGAGCTATGCTGAAGGTCATGCACACTGCCTTTTGAATGAATGAGAGAAGCAAAGTGATTCACATTTTGAACCTTGTCTGGGTGGACACAGCCAGGAACGATGACCTGCCCAGGCCATGGTTCAGCAGCCATCATCAGCTCAACAATACCCCTAAAAGTATATGTCAATTTCTCGAGTGAAATCACCATAGCAGGAGACATACTGAACGTACACTGGGTTTTTCACGATGGTCAACACTTGCATGAGTGGAACCAGCTTCAGTGTAGCACCATCTACAAGAACAGTTCTGAGGGCATACCATCAACCTATAATAAGGTGTAGCATGTGGTGATAACTTACGGAGTATAAGGGATCTTTGCGTAAGTATCTTTCAATAGATCATCTCACAAGGAGCAATCCAACGACCTAGGAGCTTTTTGCCTTGAATCTTCGCCCTGCATACTGCATCAACACAGGACTGAAAATTGAATGAATCATACATATGCTTTCTTTTCAGCTTTTTCTTATCCTTGTGACCCTTCGATGTAGGATGCTCACTGAGAGAAAGGTCAACGGCATGTTCTGGACGTAAACTAAAAGATGTACTCCTCAGCCATGAACAGTAACTTAATGTTCTTGCTGTCATGTTTCATTACCTTCCTAAAAATGATTTACATTTATTCTACCTCAACTGAAAAGGGGGTGTGTACAGGTCATCCATGTCAATCTTTCTAGCACGGAAAATCTTGGATGTTTTGCTGAGATGTGAGACGTGAACAGCAGCCACCAGAAAACATATACTCAGAGGATACACATGCATCCATGTCCTGTTGTAGTGCGGTTGCCTTCTGAACAAGGCTGTCATTCCTAGTATTTTCCTGTCAATTATGTACAAAAAGATCTGCGATGATACTTACTCATCATCGACAATAAACCCATTCAGCGAGTCATCTTCACTCAGAGCCTCATCATCATTGAGCCTGAGGAAGGATTGAATGTCAACGTTACATCACATTTCCATGTAAATCTACTGTCCATTGTCTGTACCTTCATCACTTTTCTTCACCTCATCATCGATGAAGTCGTTCACAGGTCACATACCAATTGTGTGGAACAGGTGTCAACAGAAAATGACACACTCATACGGGTGATAGGGAAACATACTTCTTCCACAATGAACACATTTTAAGCCTCTGAATTTCATGGTCCAGCTCATCCCTCTGGTTGGTTAGATTAGCTATGAGGCTGAACATTGGATTCTTACTGTGATGATACATTATATCTTGCCCATCAATATTATGTTACGCACAATGTACTCTCTCTGTCTCCGTATAAAGTCGATAGCTGACTCATCCTCTCTGCAGACCTCAAACTTGTTGGAGTCCTGTTTCTTCTTATCAGATGAGATGCTGAAGGCATGACGACTATCAATACATTAATCCACAATGAAACAAAGGGAGTCGCTTACACTATTGCTTTGGAATGCTTGTTGAGCAAAGGGCTGAAAAAGATATCGTAAATGATACATCTTGGACTCTGCTGTCAGAACACCTATTTGTCAGACTCATCTTCCAATCATGACTGACTATGAGGAATTGGGTCAAGAGGAAGCCTTTCAGGGTATAAACATCAACTTACAAGTCCTGCGGTCTTGTAACACTGCGTGCACGACCCCTTGAATGACCCCACAGATGATCCCGGGTCTTACTGAGGGTGGAGGTCATGGGTGTCTCAGAAGGTGTTGGAATGGTCATCTTGCCATAAAGATGTACGGTAAGTGGCCGATGGAGATACACAGAAAGCACACATTTTTTCTTTTCAAAGTTGCAGGACCATCTCTCACCGCATACCTTCCTTTTTCATTCACTGCCTTATCGAAGCTGAACACGGTTGAGATGGGAGTTATCATGATGGTCGAGACTCACTCATGTTTATCTGGAGTATCACGATCAGATCCTTCACTCGATCTATACAGTGGTCAAAAATGCATCTGAATGATGATGCCAGCACTCATGATTTGACAGCCTCACGGTTGGCATCATTGCTTCTTTCTGCATTCCTGAAATTCACGTAGAGCAATGATTGAATAGATTCACATAGAACACTTACCATTTTGACTTCACACTGCTGGAGAGACCGCTGTCCCAGCTGTGGTTCCCACAATTGTAATACAATCCTGCACAGAGCTGCTAAAGAAATTGTGTATATCTCCTCCACATATTGTAATACTGAATGATAAAACAATGTGCACAGCTATTGTAATTCTTGTAGAATGTTTCTGCTAGCATTGTAATACTTGTGCATTAGGGTTGTAATATGTGCTTTCAGGTATTGTAATATCTTTGCACTTGATTGTAAAATGTTTTTGGCAGGCATTGTAATATCCTGTATCAAAACTGTGCTTTCTGTGAAATGTTTTCACTAGTATTATAATAATTACATAATTAAAAATGCACTGCACTGGTGTTTATTTTGCAGTATTGTAATATTCATGCTGTATTATAATTTATTAATATTTATATAGACATTCTTGACATTGTACAATTATATTATAAACACAGATGCTTGTGATAAAGATGTACATAGAATAATATGCACAGCCATTGTACTTTGTATGAAAAGCTTTTAGCATATATTGTAATATATATACATCTAAATTATAATTCTCATAAAGGGCTTCTCAAATATAATAATGTATTAGTACTTCAGTTATAGTTTCTGTCAAATGTTTATAAAAATATTATAATATCAATATAATCAAATGCACTATATTTAGCTTTTATAACATTTACTTTTGTACTATATAATAATATACTATTAGTTGTGCACATTTTATAACATTTTATAATAAATATATGTGCACTTGAGTGATAGCCTCTGTGAATGCTCTTGGCAGATACTGTAATATTTTTGTGCTTTTTTGATTTTTATTTTAAAAATATCTAAATAAGAAATAATTGAAATTGTCTATTTGCTTGCACGATTATGTGCTTTGATTCTCTATAACAAGCTTTTGGTCACTATTAGCTGATTTGCTTATGCTATTTCATCCATCTGAGGCACTGATCAACTGAAGTAAAAGATTCATAAAGATAGGTGAGTCAGGATGTGACATCAGATTTAGCAAACTGAGCTGCAAGATACTAAAAAATGGCAGCATGCTTCTTAGCCTATGTTTCAAGGCTAACATGCACTGCTTTTGGAGGATCACCTTTATAACGATCTTGCTTTGTTACCAAACTGCATTTCACCTCAAATACATAAGCACTTATCACATCTTCTTTTCAAAAAGTCAAATTTTCTCATCTCAGCACTCTGTCCTTGCCTGTGCTCATATTCATTTGACTTGCATGCTATTACTAAACTCATTTGCAGTGTGGCATCTCTCTTACCAGTTTCTCTGCCATTAGCCTATTCATATGCACCAAGGCTCATAATGACCTTTTTTAGTACTCTGCTTGTCATGTCTAAAATCTGAAAGATCTGTATCAGCCAGAACCAGATAGCAGAACAATCAATCACCCTCTAAACTTCAAATGCTAAATGCAGCTCATGCAGTATATCAGTTTGCAGTAGTGCAGTTGACCTTTTGTGTAGGTGATCATATACATTCCACACTTGAATGTTGGCCATCTGCCCAGTGCCACAGATGTTGAGCTTGTAAAATGGATGCATATCAGTAATGATGCAGCAAAGAAGGCAGATGTTGATAAGAAACTCTTCAGCCTATGTAAAATGCAGACATGTCTTGTCTTTCTATTGATCAGATCACAAAGCATATCAAGCTTGCAATATGAAACAGGCAACATGGAAGGCAAAAAGAGTAAAAGGTTCCTGCTTGTGCTTGTAGAATCTTTTAATCTGACAGAAATGTAAATTATAGTGACTATTTATGCAATTGAGCAATTATTAGCATGCAGATATCTTGTAGAGATAGCCACTATCGCATATGATAGATGCTGTTAGTGCAGCTTATATCACTTTTAACAAGCTCTTTATCTGAGAATGAGCATGACAAAGCAGATTAGCAAACATTTACAGTAACTATAACAAAATTTGCATCTCATTTTGAAGCTCACTTCAAAGAATCTGTTGGTGCTAAGGATGAAGAAAATAGCATAAGCAAATCAGCTAATAGTGATTCAAAGTTTGTTGTAGAGAATTAAAGCATATAATCATGCAAGCAAATAGATAATTTTGATTATTTCTTATTTAAATGTTTTAAAAATTAAAACCAAAAAAGCACAAAACATTACAGTATCTGCTAAGAGCATTTCACAGAGGCTATCACTCAAGTGCATATATATTTATTATAAAATGTTATAAAATGTGCATAACTAATAATATATTTAAATGTTATAAAAGCTAAATATAGTGTATTTGATTATATTGATATTATAATATTTTTATAAACATTTGACAGAAACTATAATTGAAGTACTAATACATTATTATATTTGAGAAGCATTTTATGAAAATTATACTTTAGATGCATATATATTACAATATATGCTAAAAGCTTTTGATATAAACTACAATGGCTGTGCATATTATTCTATGTATATCTTTATCACAAGCATCTGTGTTTATAATATAATTATACAATGTCAAGAATGTCTATATAAATAATAATAAATTATAATACAGCATGAATATTGCAACAGTGCAAAATAAAAACCAGTGCAGTGCATTTTTAATTATGTAATTATTATAATACTAGTGAAAACATTTCACAGGAAGCACAGTTTTGATACAGGATATTACAATGCCTGCCAAAAACATTTTACAATCAAGTGCAAAGATATTACAATACCTGCAGGAGCATCTTACAAAGGTTACAATTCCAGTGCACAAGTATTACAATGACTGCAGGGGCATTCGACAAGAATTACAATGCCTGCCTGAAAGATTTTACAGTCAATTGCAAAGATATTACAATATCTGCAGGGGCATTTTACAAAGATTACAACTCCAGTGCACAAGTATTACAATGTCAGCAGGAACATTTGACAATCAAGTGCCAAGATATTACAATACCTGCAAGCATATATTACAACTCTAATGCACAAGTATTACAATGCTAGCAGGAACATTCTACAAGAATTACAATAGCTATGCACATTGTTTTATCATTCAGTATTACAATATGTGGATGAGATGTACACAATTTCTTTAGCAGCTCTGTGCAGGATTGTATTACAATTGTGGGACCCACTAGTGGCTGCTCGTGGACATAGCGACACTGAAACAACATAAGTCCGAACGTGGTGAACTTAAAAGATAGCCGACGTACTAGACCTTTCATCTCATCAGCGTCAATCTAGGTATGGGCATTAGAACATCAAAAGTTTGAGATAAGCATATGAGAAACATACAGCACAGGCTTAGAAGGTGGAGTAGGTCTAGCGAGATGTCAGTCAGATCCTAAAAACTAGCAATCACACATACTCCTTCTCAGAGTCACTGATTGTTTCAGGAGAAATGGGAGTTGGTTGGTTGCTCCTTCTCGATGCTTTTCTAGCATGTCCGCTGTGGAAAGTATTAGAATGAGGCTGAGAGAATTATCTTAAAGAAGGAGCACCAAGCAGCGGAGGTTTTTCCTCGAACCATCGTTGAAAAGGACGACAGTGATATCAAAGGTCACCTTCTTCACCTTAAGTACCCCTGACCAATGTCAGATCTGATGGAAGATCTGTTCTCTGACTACCTGCCAGTAAATATCAGAATCGTATACTGGTACACCGTGACGAGCCTCAAAACGTTGCACAAATGATGAAAAGGAAAAACATGGTTTCTGTCTATCAGCAAATCAGGGCACATTAGCGAATGCAATAGCATGATTTCGGAGTTCAATTATGAACGTGATCTTTCTTGGCTCATGGTAATGCAATGAGCATCGTCAACCTCCACCGGCTGCAAAGATAAGTACCGAATGAACATGAGCCTACAAATGAATCCCCACTTTCAATGTGATCGGTCTCAAAACCAACAACGTTTCATAATCGCAGTGTCTGGTGTATACGACCACATCCAGCATAAACAAGTTGCTTCCATGTATGATATGGCAGCTAGAATGGGTCTCGAATGCCAGCGCTGTTCAGTAAAACTGATATTTGAGTGGCAGACACATTTTTCGGATGCCCGCAGTCTCGTATAGTTTATGCTCCTCAATCACATGTTCGAAATGCCACATGGCATCTGAAATATAAAGCAAAGCCCTTATCGGAGTGCAGCCCAGACATGGCTAGCAGTATTCGATGAGTGATTTCAAAAAGGCAGTTCAAACCCAGGAGGAGAAGACACGGAAACAAAGAACATAATCGTGATGAGATCAGCATAGAAAGAAAAGGTTGAAGATGGATGTTCTCCAGATAATGGACCGTTCGGCCAAGTAGGTGGTAATTTCCACAGGCAAACATCGCTCCCAGCACCATGGCTTTAGAACTCTTGCACAAGAAGAGAGAGACATATGGTATAGTTTGTTCTCTGCATTAATGTGGGAGCAGAAATGTTGATAGAGTAGCAGCTGCGACTCTCAAGAAGTACATGGATGGACATCATGCAGAGGTTGGAGACAAGAATCTGGCAGGGTTTGCAAATGTGAGTGCTTCTTCACTGTGAAGAGTCGCAACTGAACCTGTACAAGGCAAAACTGGCCAACAAACTCATAAGCCTGTATGAGCTTCAGGCAGAAAAGGGCAACAGTTATTGAGGAGCAGACTTGATATGGTCTACAGGAAAATCATCACCTGAT